TTAAAGTTTTCTCTGTGGCAGGTTCTTTGTTTTGTTCTAGTTATAAATGAACAATACAAAATAATATTTGAGTTCAGGAGAATTTGTCGGCCATGGTGATGATATCTTGAGAAGAAGAGAGTAGATTAGCTATTGTTGGAATGAAATTGTACGATGAAATTCTTGAATCATAAAGGAGGAGACATAATTGAGTGATAAATATGGGAGGGGAGAATTAAGAGATAGTGGTTGATTTGGAGTGAAAGAGTCAATTAAGCAGATAATTAATCAATCCTAGTTTTAAGATATGTGGGTATCTAATAATCTAATTGTATCTTCAAATAATATATTAATATATGGTATAAAATATTAAAAGTGGTAATATATGTAATTGTTTGAAAGTAAAGATAATATTAGTATATATAGTAGTGATGTATGTCTAATAAGGTAATTTATCCAAAAAAGATTCCTGCTAAAATGACTATGGAAGTACTGGACTTTCCCTTTCAAAACAATACATAGAAATATGCAGGAAATGTTGATTTGGAACACATGTTTTATATTTAATCCATCATAGTATGCACTAACATAAGCCAAGATAAATTTCGAAAGGAAAACAGAGATACATTAAAGAAGCTATCAACTAGACAATGATACAACAGTTAAGCGAATATAAACTGTTTGCTGGAAGTTAGGTCCATGTCCCCTTCTGCTTTTGCAACTTTTTGGATGTTACAGACGTGGTAGGGGTCAAACCTAACCCCACACAACGTTAAAAAAATAATTAAAAAACTGTTTGCTGGAGACAAAATCTCTATATACAAGAAAAGGCAAGTGTAGCATGTACACAATGCACGAAAGTCCTCAGCTGACAGATCTTAGTCCAGAATTTTCCACATACAGAATAGTATCTCAATTCCAGTTCCAGCCAAATGCAAATGAATTTACGAAATGCAATTTTCCTTGACAATCATGACTATGAAACTTCATAGTCTTTTTTCCATGCCGTTGTTCAACCATCTGAAACACAAGGGGAAAAAAGTCAGTTTTGGCACACAGTTCTTTCTTGGGAAATGGAGACGCGGGTCATTACAAGTAACCACTAAAAAGACGCTCTAGCAAAGGAAGGCGCTAAAATGGATCAAATCAACTCTTTTTTGTGCATGGAAGTTCCTCCGGTGTTTGTATCCAGCAAACTAGAAGCAGACAAAGAAGGAACTCCATTTGTTAGACTATCTAAGATATCTTTTGCAAGCAACTCATGTAATAGTACTAGTAATAGTATGCCCTCTGTAATTAACTCATGTAATAGTACTAGTAATAGTATGCCCTCTGTAATTAACTCATGTAATAGTACTAGTAATAGTATGCCCTCTGTAATTAACTCATGTAATAGTACTAGTAATAGTATGCCCTCTGTAATTAACTCATGTAATAGTACTAGTAATAGTATGCCCTCTGTAATTAACTCATGTAATAGTACTAGTAATAGTATGCCCTCTGTAATTAACTCATGTAATAGTACTAGTAATAGTATGCCCTCTGTAATTAACTCATGTAATAGTACTAGTAATAGTATGCCCTCTGTAATTAACTCATGTAATAGTACTAGTAATAGTATGCCCTCTGTAATTAACTCATGTAATAGTACTAGTAATAGTATGCCCTCTGTAATTAACTCATGTAATAGTACTAGTAATAGTATGCCCTCTGTAATTAACTCATGTAATAGTACTAGTAATAGTATGCCCTCTGTAATTAACTCATGTAATAGTACTAGTAATAGTATGCCCTCTGTAATTAACTCATGTAATAGTACTAGTAATAGTATGCCCTCTGTAATTAACTCATGTAATAGTACTAGTAATAGTATGCCCTCTGTAATTAACTCATGTAATAGTACTAGTAATAGTATGCCCCTTCCTCAGAACACCAATAGTAGGTGTCCTGTTTTGCCACTTGCTGGTAACAATGTAACGATGCATATTACATAACATATATATTACTCTGTTTTCAACCAAAAAAAAAAAAAAAACCACTAAAAAGAGAAATTTTAGGAGAAAACAAGACCTAATCAGCTTGTGCAATCACCGTCCCCAAAGGCACCAATGTAAACAATGTTCCGATAAGTCCCATGAAAATTAAAGAAAATACTATTGAAGAGTGAAGACCGTCAACAAAATTTGGAAAAGCCTCTACTATCAACTGAAGTCACATTTTTTACCAAAATGAAATCTGTCTTGCATCTAAGGCTTATGATGAAATGGCTTTGTTACCTATACTATTTCACCAGATAGTCGATAATAAAATTGTCTTGCAGAAGGTCGTTTTCCCCCCTCTATGTTTCACCTTCTCTTATGCAAAAGAAACTGATTGTGTCAACCATGATAAGCCAATGTTTTGTCAATCAAATACTTCATTTTCCTCAAGAGAAAGAGAAATTGTCTTTATCCAGAGTCGAATTTGCTGAATGAATGCTCTCAAATTAAGAGCTCTTCCATTAAATTAGAAGTTGCCACTTACACCCCTAAATATCTGTAATATCTATAAAAATATGCTACATTTATCCCTGATATCTCCTACATGTGGAAAGCAATTGACACAGTAATTACACAAATATTTAGAGCTATTACATAGATATGTACAACTATTAGTATCTGTCCAACATGCTAACACACTATACCCAATATCGAAGAGCATTATAATATTTGAGGATTAAAAGATACTCTTTTGCTGCACGATTAACAAAAGAAACTATGGGATCTAGGAGATTAATAACTGGGAAGAAGCTTACATGGAGATGTTTGGTCCAATGAGAGTAGAGAATCCTTAAACCAAATGGATGAACGTCCCTCATGGTGCTAGAAACGCAACCAAGCTTACATTGCATGCATACAAAACACAGCCAACCTAGTTAAACAGTACAATAATGACCAGTGAAAAGAAGCGACAAATTTGTTATAGCATTCCTCTACCAAGTCTAAATGAAAATTTTAGCCAGCCTGATTACCAACCATAAATTTTGACTTGATATACCACAGCTAGCAACGTTCCAGCATGACATTTGATCTAGTTACCTATGAGAAGGAACATATTACATTATTAAAGGACGGGAATGTATATATTCCTCTTTTGATGACGATAAGAAGAAGAAGAAGAACAGTTAGTTTCAAGTGAGTGATAAAAAAATCTGCAATTCTTCAGTACCATAACATGTATTAGTTTGGGGAATGAAAAGTTTGTTAAAAAGAAGGAGAGTAACTCGTGGAAAAGAAAGAACAAAAAAATCGACTCAGAAACTGAAAGAGGAACAGAGACTTACTTAAGTCCTGAATTATGCTTTCACCTACTTTAATTTTTGGAATATGGGAAATGTTGGACCACTGGGAGTTTGAGCCAATCCGATTGGTGCAACTTTCTTCTAACTTTGGGCAGCCTTCAATTTTCAGGTACCGTAATTTGGTGAGGCGTTGCATGGCATCTCCGGATGGCAGATGCTCTAGTTTCTCGCATTTCTGTAAAACTAACTCCTGCAAAGAAACAAGGTTGCCAAGCCCATACAACAGAGTTTCTAACAATGGACAATCCTGTATCTGGAGATGCCGTAATTTGAGCATGGCAATTGAGAAGTCCAGATGTTGTAGCCGTTTGCACCTCACTAACGTTAATCTTTCAAGAGAAGCAAGGTTGTCAAATTTATGAGGAAGAGCCTCGATTCCGAATCCATATATTTGGATCTCTGTTAGGTCAGAGAGTTGCATAAGCTGATAGGGCAGAGAATCCCAGTGCAAATGTCCTACCACACACAAAAAACGAAGGGACAACAGCTGCTGAATGCCATTGAAAATCAATTGGAATGCCTCAAAATCCACCATCTCTGAGAAAGGACCAATTTCCAAATGCCGTAACCCAGTGAGACGGTAAAGGTCCCCTGCGGGTACACTAATCAATTTGGGACATTCTGATAGATACACATCAAAAAGTAAAGGCATTTCCCCCACACGTATAGGGAAGGAAACTAAGTTGTTACAGTAGCAGACCATCAAAGATTCCAGAGACCGACAATGCTCTAGCATCCCATTTGGTAAACTGGTCAATCCATCACAGTTCCATAACTGAAAACTTTGGAGGGAAGTCAAATAATTCTCTCCACTGGGAACAGGAAAGGAACTGAAATTGGTGCAGCGGTAAATCTTTAAGCTCTTAAGAGAACGGAGACTGTATAAGCTTTGTGGCAATTCACGAAACTCTCCACAGTCTGAGACCAATAGGTGTTGAAGAGAAACCTTGTTGCGTAGCATCTCATCTGGAAAACAAGTGAGCTCTTTCACATCATAAACACTAAGCTTTACGAGAGATGTCAATTTACTGCACAAGTTCAACAATGGCATTTCACTGTCAACTCTTTCAATTCTTAATTCACGGAGGATTTCAAATTGACTTGGAGTAATTTTTAACAATGGACAGCTACTAATCCTCAACTTCTCAAGCAGAGGAAACATTCTTACTCCAATTTCATCTCCCTTCCACTCAATAAGGCTAGACATATCCTTCAATACTAGTTCAGTCAATGATGGGAACACTTGGACATTGCTGCTTGATCCAATGTTGTTACCATCAATACCATAAAAAGTAGTTCCGATGCATTCAACCTTATGTAACCCTAATAGCTCAAGATGCCGAAGCAATTTCAGTTGGCCAAGCCATGGAATTTCTTTGCATCTTTTGCAACCACTTAATTTCAACTTGACCAAATTTGGTAGAGATTCTTCTCTGAACCATGAAGGAAATCTAGTACCTAAATAGTTCTTGACTTCTAAGGTTTTCAAGTTAGTATGCGGTTGAAGACCATCCAACACATGCTCAACAATGGTTTCACAGCCTTCTGGTTCATCGTGGAACCACACATATGCCAGCTTGTAGATAATCGATTTCTCTTGTAAATATGCTGTTCGAGCTTCTTCAATACTACAGACCAATTCCAGCTCATTGATCGTCAATTCACCTCTAAGGTTCTTCAAACAACCTAATTCTCCTATTCGACGCCCTTTCTCTAACCCCACATTGAAATACTGCAGGGTCTGAAGACAAGTCAATTGTCCCATGTTAAGTGGCAACTGAGATCGAGAATAGCAGTAAATGTGTCTCAAACTTATCATATTTCCCATCTCATATGGAAGTTCCTTGAGTGAATAGCAGTCATTGACTCTAAATGTTTGCAAATTGTAGAGCTTGCAAATGGAGTTGGGCAAGGCTGTGATCTTAGTGTTGGAGAGATCAAGATATCTCAAGTATATTAGCTTGCCGATTTTGGCTGGCAGCTCCTTGATTCCTGAACTGGACAAATTTAAAACTCTCAAGAACTTAAAGCTCAACAGCATATCTTCCGATATATGATTGCTTCTCCAGAACAGTGTGTACAAACGTCCTGGCTCATTTATCTTATCTATTTGATCACTTGGTGAGTCCCATCCAAAGTATCGTGCATGAGAAAGATTTTCTCCACCATCGCCCTTTGGATCAATTAGTTTAGATTTTAAGATATCTCCAGCCAAATCATGCACAAGATCGTGCATCTTACAGTGTGTTATATTGTTATGCTCATCTAGCTTAACATCTTGCAGCAAGGAATTCCGCAACAAGAGTTGAAAGAACTTGTTCCCGATGTCCTCCATCACGGTGGTCTCTTGACATGGATGAAGAAAGCCTTCTGCCATCCAGAGTTGGATCAGTTGGTCCTTTTCAAACTCAAGGTCTTTTGGAAACATTGCAAAGTAAGCAAAGCATTTTTTCAGATGTGGATATGGTAGATAATCATAGCTGAGTTTTAGGATTTTCTTTATGCTATTTTCTCCATTACCATCTTCACCTGCAACAAGGGGGTTTCCATCAAGAATTGCCTGCCATTCATGTTTTTCCTTACTGCGTAAGAGGCCTCCCAATACACTTGCAGCCAACGGTAGACCTTGACACATTTTAACAATCCTGTTGCCCATGCTTGCTAATTCCTCTGGAATTTCCCCATCAACAAACGCTCTTTGTTTGAAAATGGACCGACAATGATCTTCTGCTAGTTTTTCCAACTTATGAGGACCTACTGCTGCTACTGTGGACGCCACCTGTTCCATACGAGTAGTCACGAGAATGAAGTTTCCCCGGGAAGTATTTATTCCTCTCAAGGTATCCACAAACTCATTCCACAATGTAGAGTCAACACGCCAGAAATCATCCAGGACAAGCAAATACTTCCTTCCTGCCAGTTCATCTCGGAGCTTCATGACAATTATATCTCTGCTCTGGACCTTAACTTTCCTCTCTGTCAATGATTCGAGGATCAGTTCAAGAAAGCTCTTAGTCTCCGACATTTCAGGTAGACACAGCCAAACTCTCTTTTCAAAGGTTTGCTTGATGTGTTCATCATTGTAAATTCTCTTTGCGACAGTTGTTTTCCCTAAACCTCCCATACCCACTATTGGAATGGTTGACAGAACAACATCCTCTCTCATGGTCAATATCTTCTCCTTTATTTCAGCAACATCTTTGTCTCTACCAACAACATCCAAAGCAACCACTACAGAATCTGTTTCTCGAATTAGTAGTATTTGCCGAGGAGGAACCATCAATGATTGGAGACCAAGGTCTTTGGCTAACTTATTGATAGCCGTCAACTCTTCATTGATGTTGTTGATTTTTTGAGACATTTTGCTCTTAAAAGCTGTATGAGAAAAGAAATCACTGACCTTTTTCATTGGATTGTTTCGAATCTTCACTTGTCTTTTGAGAGATTCATACCTGAATTCGTCAAACACATTATCAGCATTTTCAGCAACTCTCTCAAGCATCTTGAGCCATTTTTCCACAGCCTGATCTTCGACTTGTCGTCTTTCAGCATCATGAATGAAAGCTTGGATCAAGGATACATTTTTTGTCAGCATTTCGAGATTTTTCTTGCAGTTCCTTAAACTTTTGACCTCCTCAATAGTGGGAGAAAGCAACTTGTCAAGCAAAACTTGAGCAGTAGCACCAATTACAGGATCGGCCATTATTGTGTTTGCTCCTTCACAAAATGTTCTTCCTCTGTACCAAAGTCTTCTTTACCTAAATAAAGACAATAATTCATACTTCACAATAATTAAAACAGTGAAGAAAATGGTTGGTTGTGATGATTCCAGAGACACATCTATCTCTGAAAACACAAACATAGAGTCAACACTTCTTATTTTTGTTTGGAAAATATAGTTTACAAATAAAAATGAAATATTGAAAATCATTCAACTTAGTTAAATTGATAATAAATCCTTTAATTTTTTTATCACCTTTATATTCGAGAGGGGTTTAGCTGTTTTCCTATATTGTCTTCTTTTGATTTCACTTGTGTTTAGGTTATCGCATTATTTTGTGGTTGTTAATATGTTGTACTCAAGCCAAGGAACATCTGGAAACAGTCTCCTTACCACCACGAGATAGGGGAATGGTCTACATACAATCTATCCTCCCCAAACCCCACTTATGAAATTTCGCAAGGTATGTTGTTGTTGGTGTTTATATTATTCTCTGAAAAATTAGTCACGGCATTTTCTGCTGTGTCTACTGGGCAAATATTTCTCCAAGCGTAGAACGTAAAAATCAAATAGCAAACAGATTCTTACACTCTGCAAATTACAATTAAAAATCCTCATCGCGAGGGAAAAAAACGCAATAACATTCTCAGCATTGTGTGTTACATGACGAACAAGACAAATGGAAATTACAAAGCACGAATGACTAATTGACTACAACAGTGAATCGCTATTACATCGTTATAATGTTATACACAAACTATTGTTCTGTAAGAACCCAATCTTCTGGCATTTTACCTCTACAACTTGGCCATTAGAAGCAAGAACTGAAAAAAGAATTGACTTGCTTCCAACAAAATCTTCATAATCCTTCCAACTGTGCTCTATTGATATTATAATTAGCAGAGTATATCAAATATCAAGGAAAACGACGAGAAGCATTGAAGTCAAGCTACACAAGTAGGAACCGATCATCAGCTCCCAGAAAAGTAAAAGAAGAGCATTAGTTCTAGCTAGTGGCAGATTGAAGGGAACACTTCTTGGTGAACTGCTAACATATTGTCCAGCATTCATGAATTCATCCTTGCCCGAGGTTATAGACACATTCACGGGTGATGAGCCTATAACAAAAGCATTTTATATAAGTGAATGACATCAGAGCTCCCTCCTTATAGAGAATTGGTAGGGTGTATACATTCATCAACGATCTCTAAGCAAGGAGGCAGTATGGAGACGTAAGCAATGAGAATCGAATCTTAAAAGATGGTACTTACAATCATATTCTGCCCATCCAATTCTTTGTCGGGCCAAGTCATATACAATGATCTTATCTTTAAGAACAAGATCTGTAAAAGAAGAGAAAGAGAAGTGAGTGTCAAGTAGATTCAATCGTTACTCTAGATTCTATATAGTCTGGCAGTAATGACGCAAGCAATGCAATTAGGGGTAGTTTAGTTGTGGTATTGAAGCAAATAATCCCAACATAAAATTCCTCATAAGATAATACAGTGTTCGGTTGGTCAAAGTGATCACCGGACAATTGATTTATAGTTTGTAGTAACCACCACATAATAAGTGCTTAAGTATTAATCATTGCATAAACAATATATCCTTGCATTATAATCCCCATATAACTAGTAAGTGAACCAAACAACCCCCTAGGGAACCAGCAAAGATACATATTGTACGACAAAACTACATCATGACATCAATATTTCCACTCCAAGTCACATAGAACATATGACTCCTATAACCACTTGATCGTCTCACTTTTACCTAGCATGAGATCATATATCAAGGACACCCAATCCCTCCCCCCTCCCCCACCAAC